TACTCTTTCATTCTCAAGCATCTTCAACCTCACTCTCTCCATGGCCTCCTTCCCTTCTATTGAACAACAAACAACAATTTAACTTTAACTTTGTTACCAATTCCAGTTACCATTTACAATACCTGCATTTACTTTTGCTCAGCACCCAACTCTTTGACCTGTGGACCCTGTCCACTTTCTCTCCTCAACGTCATATGTTCTGGCCCCTACCTCTATCACTTTACTAAAATAGTTCTGGCTCAACACTGTCCTCAATTCCTTCCTTCTTTAGAATATCTGATGATGTTGATTATTTCTACTTCTATACATTCTTCTTGTGGGCTCTATAATCCAATGTTTTTCTAGTTTTCTTCCAGCCTCTTAGACTGCTCTTTTTCTAACTCCTCTGCAGTCTCCTCTTTCTTTCCTTCTCCCTTACTGTGGGGTGGCCATCAAAGTTCTGTATTTAGCCTTTTACTATTCGCCAGGCTTCAGCCAACACCTCTGTACTACCATCTTCTATTCCTTCCACTTCCTTCAACCCTGATTTGAATATAAATCTCATATCTATTTCATAATTACCTACTATCTGAAACTGATCTCATATTCTATAAATCAGTCCCATGCACTAGTACATTTCTGTCAGTGCTATTATTATGGGTTTAATTTACACCTCCCCCCACCCCCAGCCACAAATAACTTTATGTTGAAGCCCTCAGAATGTGACCTTATTTGGAAATAGGATCTTTGCAGAGGTAATCAAGTTAAAATGAGGTCCTTCTGGTGGGCTTATGGACTTATACGACCAGTGTACTTATAGAAAAGGGAAATTTGGACACAGAGACATGTAAAGAGGGAGAATGTCATGTAAACATGAAAGCAGAGATTGTGGTGATGCATCTACAAGCTAAGGAACGTTAAAGATTGCCAACAAACCATCATAAGCTATGAGAGGCATTGGGGCTCCTGGGTGGCTCAGTTGGTTGAGAGTCCAACTTCGGCTCAGGTCATGATCTCACGGTTTGTGGGTTGGAGCCCCGCATCGGGCTCTGTGCTGAAAGCTCAGAGCCTGGAGCCTGCTTCGGATTCTGTGTCTCCCTCTCGCTTTGCCCCACCCCTGCTCACACTCTGTCTCTCTCTCTCCTTCAAAAATAAATAAACATTAAAAAAATCTTAAAAAAAGAAGCTAGGAGAGACATGGTACAGATTCTCCCTCCAGCCCTCAAGAGGAACCCACCCGGATGACACCTTAATCTCAGACTTCTGGCCTCCAGAACTGTGAGGCAATAAAACCCAGTGTGTGGTACTTTGTTGCAGTAGCCCTAGCAAACTAATACAACCACTGACTCTCTTGTCTCCCAGACTAGAAAACCTCACCTCATCTCAGGTTCTTGCTTTTTCTTCCCCATCTATATCAAATCTTGTGTCAAAGACTTTAGTTATTCTTCTGAAGTGACTCCTAGCATGTTTAATCTCATACTTTCTGTTATATCCTTTTCTTCTACCATTTAATCTCAGGTCTTGTTACCTTCACTCTAGTCCTGGGTTTCACTATTTCATATCTAAATTCCTATAAAACTCTCTGACAGATCTCTCTTTATCCAAAATTATTTCCTAAAATATATAATCATTATAAAATATTATATTATAAAATATATAATGTTGCTTTTATCATACTAGCACCATGATTGAGATATGCTTATAGTGCCATATTGTCTATTATGCTAAATGTAACCTTGGCTTCATGGTTCCCATAATCTGGACCCACCTTGTCCACTCAATATTTTATCCCCCTAAACCCATCATCCTTATTTCCCTCTTTGAGTTCTGTTCCTTATCCTCTCCTGCCTCCACATCAAGATATTTTCTTACTTTCCCTCCTCTTATCCAAACCTGTTCATCGTTTAAGGTCCTGATCAATTTTCGCTGACTGCAACTACTCTGGCCACACTAATATCTCTTGTCCTTGTTGCATTCTAATCAGTCCTTACAGATTAGCACCAAGTGGTATTTCTTATATTTTATGTAAATTTACATATATTGTACCTCTATTTCCATCAGCTTATAGGATGCAGTGCTTGTTAATTAATTGATAGATCAAACTCTTAAAGAGGGAATAATGAGAAGTGGGGGGAGGGAAAGAAGATTGGATACCCAGAATAGTGAAAACTTCAGCTAGAACAATGCAAGAGAATGAATCTAAGTCAATGTTTTCCAAATGTGCTCCCTGGACCACCAGTATCTAAATTGTTTAGGATGCCTGATAAAATGCAAATTCCTGAACTCCATTATGGACCTAGTTAATCAAACCCTGCAGTGCAAAAATCAGACTTTTTAAAGGTAACCCAATGATTCTTATATATACCAACTCTGAGAACCACTAGTCCAAGTGGAGAAGGCAGACAATAGATATGTTGAAAAGGAACAGCTGTTCTTAGGTTTACTGGCCACATGTACTTTCCATCATGGCCATCAATAGAATGAAATAGTTTAGTTTCTCACTATTATGATTTGCTTTGATGTGATAACCTCTCTTCAACACATTGCTTTGAGAACAGCAGTCCTTTCTTCCATGGCAAGAATATTTCTAGTACTGCATCATAAATGTGAGCTAGGTAATATAGACTCTCTTGAAGAATAGAAATTTGTGGCACTCCAAGGGAAGGTAACTGATACTGCTAGGCCAGCTTTGACTCTTACTTTCTTTGGGAAGTAAAATTTAACCACAGTATGCTATAGGCGCCTGGAATTCAAGTTTGGTAGCATGGAGAGAGAAATAGGAACTCTGAGATCTGGTGCTTAAGCCTTTAATTGGAACCAAGTGATAACTAAAACATGTAGCTGATTTAGATAAAAACTGAGGACCCACTTACTGGCTCACACTGAGCAGGATTTCTGCAGCTGACTACTACAGAAGCAAGATAACAAAATCAGATACAATCGAGGGGAAGAAAAATGCACAAAAGTCCTTGAATTAAAATGAATTGAAACCTTCTGGGAGAAAAGCTATTTGGTAAGCTCCATTAAGTCTATTGTAGATAGCTTTATTTGACAAAGCAGCATCCTGGCATGTGGAACAGGAAAGAAAATAGCTATAAGATGATCTGTCAGGGAGTTTTCAGTCTCTAAACGAATAAGATTCTGTGCAGTAGCCAATACAGCTTTTAACTCAAAAGAGATACAGAAGCAAAATGCAATTATACAACACTAGTAAGTGCATTTAATCTAAATCTCCCATAGACACTCCCTCTCCCAATAACTCCTCAAACTCAGCAATTTATCAAGTAAATACTCACACTTATGATCACATTCATTTCAGGGTAACACTGGATTAACACTATACAATACTGCAGATACTTAGATGGAAACAATTCTATAAGTCAAAGATTAGTCAGCTATAAAACATCTTGGCTAAGAACTTAAATAATTTGAATAGCTCAATTATTATTAAACTCTTTTGTTTTTTTAAGCTATAAGTTTATAGTATGTGTTTATAGTAATTAGGTCACTGTTCTGAAAATGCTATCTAATGATTAAAGGATTTATTCAATATATATGGAGAGTTATATGTTTAGGGATTTAACATGTGGCAGAAGTAGAGGAAATTCAGATGTAACAGCCACAAATGCCTTTTTAAAGGTCTGACTTGGTGGTTTTCTTTCCTTAAGAGTTTCTCTTGATGGAGTGAAGATTCTAGGACCACTCAAATGGCTATAGAGCTGCTGACTTCAATATGCAAGTACTGGAACCAAGAAGTTCCAATTTGCATTATAATCAATAGGTTCTCTGTTTCTGTGTGTCTCTCTCACACACACAGTAGGGACACTTTACTACAATATCTCCAATGTCTCTAGCACAGTTCTTGGCATGCAATAGGTATTAAGTGAATGAATGAATTCATTTAGCCATCACAACATTCCTGTTAGATGGTTGTATAATGTACTTCTTACAACTATAAAACCTGAGGCTCAGTGGGACAGAAGTCCTTCCTGTGTCAAGAAAAACAGTTTGGACTAGAACTCAGCTGCCCTAGCTTTAGGTCTGATGCTTTGTCCACTGTACCTTAGTGACTCCTAAGATTGTATGGAATGGCTTACCTGAAAACACTGGTTTGATTTTAATCTCACATCTGGTAATCCCCGCCCCCCCCCCCCCCGATAAGATTTGTTATGAAATTGAAGGGTAGTGTATTCTCATATTGTTCAATATGTTTGTGTTGTGAGTTCTACTGGGGACTCACACTATGGCTGCACACTGAGGTCCTGAGTATACTAAGTAAGAGCAAAAGCTTTTACCAAGACATCTGTCTGTAGACTCTTGTTTGGTTCCCAATAAACCCCTCAGTAACCAGTAACTACAATAAAAGGCAGCAGATAGGTAAACTATCATATAAAATAGATATTTCCTGTTACTTGGTACAGTCTCTTTTAACTTTGTGATTCCTTAAGGAAAAATATTTAATTTATATGAAGATAAATTTATCAAAAGTATCTTTTGTGATTTCTACCTTTGGAGACCTTCATCCCCAATTATATAACCAACTCCTACATTTTCCAGACTTTCTTTTGTATTTTTTTGTTTCTGTTTTTTTTTTTTTACTTTTGAATCTTAAATTCATCTGTTACTAATTTTGGTGTAAGGTATAGTGACATAGGGATCTAACTACTTTGTAAATGGCTACTTATATATTTATGTATAAGCTCTCATGATTCCTACTGTAGAACATATTATTAATAAATCCAAATCAAATATAGAACAATGCTGCCTAAATGTCAGCACTCCCAAGAAAAAAAAAAGTCCACTTTCAATTAGGTACTGTGATGGAATATTGGAGTAAATAAGAAGATCCTGTAGCCACAGGGTTGATATTCAGGCACTATGTACTTATATGGCTTTACCAATTGTTTCTTGCTGGCTCCAGACTGATGGTTTTGTGCCCATACCTTACTGGGTGTTAAAAGTTTTAAAATATCTCTGCAAGTAGATGTTAGTTAAATGAAAGAAAGAAGAATTATTTTTACCTGATTCCTCAGTTTCTTTTGTTTCTGTTGTTTCTTCTATTTCATCATCAGACATCTCCATTTCTTCTTCTCTTCTGATTCCCATTAACTCGTCATTATGTATGTTGCGAATTTCCTAAGGTTAAAAGTTATGCCTTTTAGGTAGGAAAGCTTTGAAAATGCTGAAGGAATGAACACAGTTAAGGAAAAGATAAAGCTGGGTTTTTTGACATATGACAAAACTTCAGAGTACTCTTAAGGCAAGGGCAAAGGGGCATGTTGGGGCTGAAACTGTCTCAACAGACAAAGCAGACTGTACATTCTGTCTTTCATAAGGCATTCTTACTATATCCAGATCTCTGACCATTGATGATTCTTATATCCATTCTATATTAGAAAGTACTGTTGGTAATAAAAGACCTCTCACCTCTTACATGGATTTCTGAACTTTCCCTTTAGGGTTCTGCCATTTTCACCTTCCCATGTCAAATCCCTTGATTTTGCTCCTTTCCATCCTCTTCCCTTTCCACTTACAGACTTACTCAGTGGAACTCTTAATATAACTTTTTAAGGTTTAGAAGTTACAGCAAAAATTAGCTGTCAGGAGTGAACTTCTATCAGATCAACCCTTCCATGGATAATAACTGTACTCTGAACAAAACACAAAATCAGACCAAACCAAACCCCTAAGTACTTGATGGCACTGGAGCAAACAAAAGCAGGCATATCCTAAACAGATGCTGACACTTGGAAGGATGTGGATCTCTTCAGTTTTTTAAGGGCCATTTAGTCTGACACCAGACCATAGTTAGCACCTCAAAGGGTGACTACATTTTAAATAGAAAATCTGGTCTTTATATCCTAAAGCAAACAAGGAGAGAGCTATAGGAAAGTGAGGAGGGGAATCTCAGAAAGGAGACAACCAGAGAGAGAGAGAGAGAGAGAGGGAGAACCAAATTCTGTGTATAATATCTGCTCAAATTTCTGCATGACTCTCGAACCATGGAAGCACAGGGCAGATTCCAAACAACACAGATAAGTCTAAAAGAACTGACCTGAGATTTGAGCTGCCATATAAGAGAGAGAATTTCCAGCTTAAATTCGATTAAGTAAATTGATCATTAAAACAAAAGAAACCCAAATCAACCTCCTTCGGAAGAATATAACAGAATGAACATAATAGAACATAACTAGAACCTTAAAAACAAAATATTCACAAAATGCAGGCAAAGCCCCAGATTACCTGACACACAAAGAAGTGGGATGAGATGACCCATTTTCAAGATAAAAGACAATCAACAGAGATCAAACTTGAACCAGATAGGGCAGTTAGCAGATAAGGATTTTTTTTTTTTATTTTTTATTTATATATGAAATTTATTGTCAAATTGGTTTCCATACAACACCCAGTGCTCATCCTGTGGGCGCAAAGTTCCTCCTCAGTACCCATCACCCACCCTCTCCTCCCCCTCCCACCCCCCCCCATCAACCCTTAGTTTTGTTCTGGGTTCTCAACAGCCTTTATGCTGCTCTTCTCCCATTTCTGCACTTTTTTTTTTTTTTTTTTTTGTTCCTCCCCATGGGTTTTCTAAGTTTCAGATCCACAGAGTGGAAACCATATGGTATCTTGTCTTTTCTGTGGGTTGTTTATTTCACTTAGCATTTCCACATACTTCCAGTTCCATCCTGACGTTGTTGTGTACATATTTCATTTTTTTCATTGTATACACTGTGAGGTACTCCATTGTGTGTATATATAAACCACAATAATACTTTTATCCATTCATCGTTGATGCGGATGAGTTCTTCCACTTGGTTATTGTTGAGAGTGCTGCTTGGTGAATGATTGGGGGGCAAGGCGCCCCCATGCATCAGTACTCCTGTGTGTCCCTGATGTCTCTAGCAGTGCCATTGTTGGGTCATTAGGGTAGGTCTATTTTTGACTTTCTCTGAGGAACTCCACACTGCTTTCCTTGGGGGGGGGGGGGCAAAATAAGGGAAGAATGGGAAGCCTGCTTTTATCAAAATTATAGCCCCTGATTGGTAGGTGTCTTGGCTTAAAATGCCTGGAAGTGAGGAGAATTTGAGGGTTTTGATTTTATTTCATAAGGTATTAGTAGAGTATGCTGAACATTCTTTTCTTTTCATGTGCCTGTTGGCCATCCTGATGCCTCTTTAGAGAAGTGTCTATTCATGCTTTTCTGCCCATTTCCTTCACTGGGTTAGATATTTGTTTTTCGGTGGAGTTTGTGAGCCTCTGACGGATACAGCCCTTGTCCGAATAAGGCGTCATTTGCAAATATCTTTTCCCATCTGGTTGCCTTTAGTTTGCTTATTGCTTTGTTGTGCAGAAGCTTTTTATCTTCATAAGGTCCCAGTAATTCACTTTTAAGCTTTTAATTCCTTGGGCCTTTGGGATAAGTTTTCAGGAAGAGATTGCTACGGGCCGAGGTCAGAGAGGTCTTTTTCCTGCTTTTCTCCTATATGATGGTTTCCTCGTCTCACATTCAGGTCCTTTAATACACCATTTTGAGCTATTTTTGTGAATGGTGTGAGAGTGGTCTAGTTTCAACCTTCTGCATGTGCCAGGTGCTGTCCAGTTCCAGCACCATTTGTTAAAGAGGACTGTTTTTCATTGATGTTCTTTCCTGCTTTGTCAAAGATTATTGGCCATACGTTTGTGGGTCTAGTTCTGGGGTTTCTATTCTATTCCATTGGTCTATGTGTCTGTTTTTGTGCCAAGCAGATAAGGAGTTAAAGCAGCTATTATAACTATCTCAATGATGGAAAGGAAATATGATCATAATGAATGAAAAGACAGGAAATCTTGGCAGAGAAACAGAAACTTTAAAATTCTAAAATGGAAAAATACAGTATCTGAAATAAAAGTAACTGGATGAGCCTAAGTCTAGAATAGAGACGGCAAAACAAAGAGAGTACTTAAAGAGAGAACAATTCAAATTTATCCAATCTGAAGGACAGACAGAAACTAACTGGAATCACAGAGAGAAGAGATTGAATGTTTCAAAATACTTGAAGAAAAAAATATTTGAAGATGTCTCAAATTTGATGAAAGACATTAATCTATATATTCAAAGAGCTCAATGAACCCCAAGAAAGATATGTGTGAAAAAGATCTGTCTAAGAACACCATAGTCAAATTGCTGGAAAATAAACAGAAACAGAAACTCTTTAACTCTTTAGTTAGCTAAACTCATGGTGATAATCATTTTGCAATCTATATAGGTCAAATCATAATGTTGTGCACCTTAAACTTATACAGTACTGTATATCAATTATATTCTCAGTCAAAGTGGAAGAATAGAGAAACTTAAAAGTAGACAGAAAAAAAACCCCTAATACATTATATACAAGGAAACAATTTGAACACTTTGTTTTCTTTCAGAAACAATATAGGCCAGAAATCAGGGGAACAAGATCTTTAAAGTGCATGAAGAAATAAAAATATCTGTTTATTCAGAATTCTGTATGCAGAGAAAAATTCTTTCAAGAATGGAGATGAATTAAATTTATTTTCAGACAAATGTAAATGCCAAGAATTTGTCATCCAAAGATTTGCACTATAAGAAATGCAGAAGAAAGTTCTTCAGGCTGAAGGGAAGTGCTTCCAGATGTAAACACAAATCTTCAGGAAGGTATGAAGAACTTTGGAAATGATGGAGATCATATTGGAAAAGTCACTTACAAAAAGTAAGCATGAAAACTGTACATTTTCAAACAGCTTGAAATCATTTAGAGACCACTAAATGCCTGTTAGAGGCTTCTCAGCATTGTGCTGAAAATTCCTTACCTAGTTTAGCCCCAATTGGGCCATAATACAGGAAATATCCAAAGCTGTCTGGTGAAAATTGCCTCCATTTAGTGGATTATAAATATTTCAAATGGGTTTCTTAATAATTAATGCTATTGTTAATCGCTATCTCAACTAATATCCTCCTTTTTTATTCTTGTACCAGGAAAAATAATAATTTCTATATCAAGATAGGTTTTCACCAAAGAGAAATAAAAGTACATTTTAAAAATGTAAGCTCTTCAGTATTATCACTGGTAGTTGAGGTAATAGAAAAATAGAAGTAATAGAAAATAGAAATACCAACATAGCATCTCTCAGGTGCTGCAGGGGTCTTGCTTAAAATAGAAGAAAATAATGACTTGCTTGAGAAAAATGAACTTTAAAGGGCTGTGTCAAGAGAGAGATTTGCTACATCTTATTCAAACTCATTGCATAGAGAATAAAGGAATTGTTCATTTCTAAGAATTCATTCTGTCTTGGGAGTCTGGGTTTCAGTTATCATCAAAGAACTGTTACTGGAAAGGTGATTATAATGAGGTCTGACACTGGCAAATTTGAATATTGTACAACTTGCTGCATCAGGAAAAGTTGTGGTTCTCCTCATTGCCTAGCAAAAATGTAGCCTGTCAGTGGGTGTAAGTAGAGACCATCTCTCAATTCACAAACATGTTATCTGACTCTGGGAAAGTTATTGTGTTTCTCAGAAGAGTAAATTGTGTTCCTTCTAGGGAAATATCCCAGGGCAGGGAGATCTAACTGAGAGCTAAGACATGCCCAATAGCTGCTCAGCACCCACAAAACATCTTTCTGCTTTCAGCTGGGCAAGAAAGCATAATCTTTTCTTAGAAGTATAAAAAGTTCAATAATTAAGTGATGCAGCTTATCTAGAGGTCTTTCACATCTTCAACAAATCTCCAGAAATAAAAAGACCTATGGGTGACTTTTACCTCAATGCCTGAAAATACTTCAGGAACAAGAGTTACCAGTTCCTTTAGCTGATAATGAAATGAGGGAAAGAAAAACTAAGGGGAAGCTTGCTCTCAGTTGTTCAGTAAGGCATGCAAAGTGACAGAGCTTAGAGCCTTCTAACCACTAGGCAGTCCCCCTTAACTACAAAGAAACTAAGCCCTGTATCATTACTCTTCTGTAAATATCCCAATACAAAGTCACATGAATGAGATAAAGGCAAAGAGAACATCAGAGGTTATAGGATACCATAGTAAAGTAAACTTCTGGGGAGCATTCGGTAAATGGCAGTACCCCTAAATAAAGCAAGTAGGTTTTTAATTCTTTGAAGCCTTATCATTAAAGCACTTGATATCAAAGATACCTGTTTTCTTTATTTCTTGTTGGGTCAAAAAAGCTCTAGTTTGGGAAGCAGACCCTAACAAATGCCTTTGGAGTGAAGGACTAAGGAAGGCACTCTACCTAGCTTGGCTCCTAGGTGCAGGTAGGAGGAGGGCTCTGAGCCACTGAAGTGGAGGCAGCAAGGGAAGTAGATACCTCCCAGATTTGCCCGCTTTCCCATCCTGACATTTGAATCCAGTGCTGAAACCAAAAGAGTGGTAGTGGCATGCAAAGACATTTTCCAGAAGTTTTCATTTGTAAATCTCTACCTGAGATTGACTGGGCCATGTCACTGATAGACTATATCAAAAAAGGTAAGACAGCACTCATAAACTTTCTATATACCATTCTCCTGCCCACAGTCAACCTGTGATATTTTTCATTTAAACAGCAAATTGTTAATGGTTTCTAAAAATGCATTACAATGGCTTTGAGTCTGTTTTAAAAGTAACTTAGAAAGTCACACGCTGCTCCACAATGGAGAAGACACTTTTACATAAAATCAAATTGAAACCAGAGACAGAGGAAAATACATGGAAAGAATCACCTTTGTACCAGATGACATTTTAAATTTATCATAAAGTAAGCAAATCACAGTCATTGCACATTAAGTATCTATATAGTTTCACAGAAAGTTATATGAACTTAAATTCATCTTACTTATGATTTATGATAAGAACATGATTCTCAGTAAAGCAAAGTTCCTTATTAATTGTGTAACAAAATTGTACTTACCTAGACTTTCAACATTAACAGGATACTTGGTGAGGAAGGGGTCAAGCGAAGGAATGGAAAGGAACAGATAGCCTCTACACTTATGTAGAAATTTGAATCTGAGATATCATTCAATTCAATGAAGCAAAGCACAAACACAGGTTGTTAATCAATGCCTATTGTATGATACACATGGAAATAAAAATTAGGTTGATTCAAATTGTGTTAGTAGGTGTTCTTGTGGCTGAAAGCTAATAGCTAGTGTTAGTACACATGGGTACTAAAACAAGGGTATGCAGATGACTTAACCATCTGTTTACAAACAGTTCTTCAGAGTTTGGAATGGTAGGCTTGGAAATCTATAGAGAAAATTATTTTACCAATCACAGTATTTCATTTTATAAGAATGTTAGCAATCATCAAGTCCCTTTTTTTCTGGCCTGATGGTATAAAATTTCATATTGGGGAGGATGTAAGGGAGTATATTCTAGTGCCTACTGCTATGGCTCTAGTTTCTAGATATCATCCAAGGTTTAGCTTCTAATCTAGGCAATCTTCTTAGTGAGAGAAACATGCAGGTTTTAAATGGCTCTGTAGAAAAAGAGTTCCTACAATACACAGAACTGTCAGTGAAGTCACTGCAGACACTAACTTTTGGTTAAGAAAGGGACTTTAAACTTCTCTTATTACCCTTTCCAATTGTATCTGCAGGAGCCTTACACACATCCAAATCAGGAAAGTAAACCAATGAAAAATACTCATTAGCAAACTAGTATGCCCAGCATATGCTATTAAGGTGAGTGCCTAAGCTCCCTGAAGGTGCGGACTTTTTCTTCTTACTCCATAACCTCTCTCTAGTAAGACATTGTTGGCTGGTGGTACGATGACAATTAAGACAGGAGCAGGTACTTTGTGACATGAGGAGGTTACCGGCTAGGTTATTCCCAAAGGCAACTGGTAAAAAAGGCTCAATGTCAGAAGCTTACACCTTGATGAAACCTATGACTTAGGAGTTGTAGCTTTGATCCACAGGCCAAGAAAAAGCCAGTCTAGTTTATTTAAGTCACTGAGATGCTCTGATTTTCAGTGGGGTGCTAAGAGAGAGCTCAAATTTAAGAGGATGGTTGTCACTTTCTACAGGACACCTCTTTTCAGTTCTCAGAGTTTCCTATTATCAAGTTAAAATATGCAGAAGTTAAAAAAAGCCATGATTTAAAGAGGTACCAATGTAAAGTAGAAGAGGTCTTTTCAGGTTTAGGAAATGCAATGCCTGAGGAATGTCATAAGCTATGTTCCACTCTCAGTAGTTTCACTTATCAAGATTGAGGTATTCCAGGTGGACATTAATTTAGTCCAATCCAATAGGCAGGAAGCATTTTTCTGGGTTTCCACAAGTCTATAAAATACATCATAAAACATGTAGCTCTTGGCAAGTCATGCTAGCTATGTACTTTATCCTTGTCAGTGTACCAAGGAAGCTGTGCTACAATATTAGGTGATAGGGTGTATAGCTCTCATTCTCTACAGGCCCAGAGAACTTTCCAGCTTACTGGCTATCTTTACTGAGAAGGTAATTAAACTCAAGTATATACCCACCAGATAGGTAGGCTTGATATAACTACAAAGAGCCTTGATGAATAATATTAATGGAAATATCTTATTGCAAACCCATTTACAGGAGGGTTGTGGTCTGAACAAATCAGTGCTCAAATCAGAGACTCCCTTCCTCCTATGAAAAGATAATAGTGTATTGGCAGGGCTGTCTGCAATGGGTGGGGCAGTTCAGACAGCTTCTTCCAACCCTGAGAATAGATACATGTGTATATACATTGAAGAAAAGGTAGAGACTTAATACAGCTTTTTTTTTTATTAATACAGCTTTTCTATAATTATAAGACATATTGAGCATTTTCCCTCAACCTTTATTCTTCTGAACTATTCAAACTAAAGAATTTGGATATTTTAAATTTAGGGTACTAAACTCCACTCCTCCCCCTTGAACACTTTCGTTACCCTTCTAGCTCTGTGAGGGCAAAGGCCATCTGCTGAATTTTGTTTGTTTGAGGCTCGACAACTTTGAGTAGCCCTAGGATTCTAAAATCATTTTGTGCTACTGTAAGACAAGAGATCCCTTTTTTGTTCCTAATTCTCTTTTTAAAAACAATTAAAGCGTTACTAGCTTTGTATGACTCTACTTATCCACTGCCCTGATGTCTTCAGGGGTTTCTCCCCAGTGACTCCCAGATCCCTTTCCTGAGCCAGAACTGATGGCTCAGAAACTATCAGTTTATGAACAGGGTTTGGCATATTTTCCTCTAAATGCTCTTCACAGTTTTCAAATTGTTGCCACACAAACTATGTCATTTTTCTCATGAAAGATGGAAAGAATAGATTTATATCTTCATTTTATAGGTTAGGAAATTGAGGTCCACAAAGATGAAATGACTCATTCAAGAGTGCAAGGCAGTTTATACTAATGTTCCAAGTGAGAAGAAGAATTTCTAGTCTTGAATTGATCACATACTAGCTGTGTAATTTTGTGTATATCACTTAACATTTCTGTCTCAGTTTCCTCACATGTAAAACATGGCAATCATACCTACTTATTCTCCCTTATAGAGTTGTTAATGATAAACAGAAAAAATACTATTTCCCATTTATATAGCATTTACATTTTCAAACTCTACACATCTTTTATCTCATTTAATCCTGCAAGACTGGCTTCCTTATTATCTCTGACTTACAGGTGAAGAAATAGAGACTGAGAAGCTGACTAACCTGGTCAAAGTCACACAGCTGCAATGTGTCATAGCTAAGACCCGGATTTTCTGACATCAGGTCCAGTGTACTTTCCATTGCACCACATCTACTGGGAGGCTCACATAGGTGAGGCAACTGTCGTGAAAGCGCTTTATAAAATGTAAATGCCTTACAAATGCTACATAAACATTAAGGAATATGAGAACCTGCGTTTATAGATATAATGGGACTGGTACCACACTAGCAAAGAGGACTCAGAAACAAAGTTGAAAAGGTTGCTGCATACACAGATCAAAAGTGTCAGGGCTGGGTAAGGAAGCTGCCCACAGGAACAGAAGAACTTGAAGTATAGGTAACACCATGCCAAAGGCAGATCCATGAAAACAAACCTCCCATCTTGGTTTTTAATCTTGGACTCAGAATAGCAACCTAATCACATCAGACTTATTCTATGTGAAAAGTCATTTGAGTACAAGAAGATAGCTGCATGTCAACCTTAATCTGAAATCAGAGCCCTCTGTTACCTTTAAAGCTGCCACCTATAAAGATGGCTGAGTGGATTTGATAAGAGAAGCTCAGAAATTTCAATGTTCCAATGTAACACTAGGCAGCTTCAAGCCTCAACTGTCAAGATGCTCTAATAAATATAAGACAGCCCTAATGTTACTAACACTAGACGCACAGGTCAGTAATTATTGGTGTACCGGAGACTAGCTAGCTTAGACAAATAAACTTACAATGATCACCGCTACATTTTCACTACTAAGGTTTCTATCCAGTGCAATGCATTCAAGACAACACGTGCACATTTATTACCCGTTTGGCAGCATGTGGTCTGGTCACAGTGACGGGCTATAGAGCATATCTCAGCGTTTCATTAGAGCCTTGTTGTGACCATGGGAGCTTGGCACTATTTAATTCTGACTAAACTCCAAATCAATAACTTGTTAAAGAAATAAACTGTCCCCCTGAGGGGCTACCAGAGTAAAAAGTTACCAACCTCAGCTTGTTTGCACCAAACGCTGATGTTTTTACGCTGGGCTTTTGTGAAATGGTCCCATGCCTTTTGTTTGGAGGCAGAATGGTACACAGCTACTATCTGTTCAACTGTAGCATCAGATCAGCAGTTGAATCAGGCCCAAGTATCATCCAGGGATGGCAAAAGAGAGGAGAAAAGAAATAAGAGAAGCATCAGCTTTGTTGTATCTTCTTGTATCACACCACTAGGTTATGGTTGTGCTCAGAAAAGGTTACGTGTGTTGGGGTATCATGATCTTAAGGAAGACTCAAAGGCAGAGACATCGGTATACAGAATGAAAAAAGGGAACTCCAGAAGGTTTGGGTGAAATGGTGACTAAAGTTTTTCTTTTAATTTTTTTAGTGTTTATTTATTTTTGGGAGACAGAGAGACAGAGTGC